TGTTGGTACTCAGCACTTCTTACCTTGTTCAACCCTTCTACATTTGCAATACTTCCAAAGGTATTCATACCACCTGAGCTTTTTCACTCTGTATTAACGGGGTTCTATGTTATAGATGACAAAATGCTTGATCATTATTCAAATGATTTTCAACGATCTCAAAGACCTAAAACAATAAAAATGTTAAGCCTATTTTATAAAGTTGCTTATTTCTTTTAGAATTACATTTTTATTACCTACCACAGCTAATCACCATTCCTGCTAATAAAAGCATAATACTGGCTTTCCTGTGGGTTGCTTCCTTTTTCTGAAATATTTTCTTTTTAAAGTCTTAGTATAGATAAAAAAATTTTTTTATTAAATTTAATCAAACCCGAGCACCATCTTCTGTATGTTTGCCGCAGCATCCCACAGTTTTCAGGTTGATATTCTTAAAAATATTTATAGATGTTATTTAAAAGGGAAAGAGGTTTGAGGGATTTAAAAACCTGTGCAACAAACAAATTTCAGATTGTAGAAATGTTTATGAAAATGCAGGCAACTGTAAGGCTTCTATCAAATCACATAACTCATTGCTGCGCTACTTACTTCATGGGCTTGAACAGCGCTTGTCCATAGTTCTGGAAAGTCATGATCAACTTCAGCTGGGTGCCTCCGGATTTCATGGCTGAAAGGGAAACAAGTGAGACGTTAGATTGCACACCACACCGTCGAGCGTGAGTAAAGCTAAGCACACATAAAACAGTGGAACACCTTCGCGTTTGCACAGAAGTTTTTTGTCTTTGCAATTTGTGCAGTTTTAAGAACTTTAAAAAGATTTGCATATCTGGTAAACAATTTAGAAGACACCGTGTAATGAAAGAAAGTGATATGTGTGAGATTGAATGAGCAACTGGCAATTTGCAAATAAGGAAATGTAAATTGAACAGAGACTGTAGCTTTGTTAAATGCCTCCTCTTCCTGTTTGAATCAATGACTCAACATTTCTCAGCAAACTTCTATTGATTGCGCAGATCCCTTGTGACATCTTGTGCACAATAACTGCTTCCTTTGTCACTCAGACAGGCTGACCTCCTGCACGCTGGAAGCTTATGTCTCTAACTATCAGTCATAACCGCAGCTTCTCCCACAGGGTGATGGATCCTGACAGAGAGCTTCCTGCTTTCCTTTGACTCAAACAACGGGACTTGTCAGGCCAGGCTAGTCCAAAATGCCTTATGTTTGTCACAATGGACTAGCTTTTTGAGGGGATTTGTTCATTTATTACAGCATATTAACTTGAGCACATTACAAAACACTGTGCTGCTGCCCAGTCCCAATATCACTGTAAGCTCCCTGTTGTGCACCAGATTGTTGGATGAGCATACAGTTTTTTTTTCTCGTGTTTACAGATTCTCTTAGTGCGGTTGCCTCCAGAGCTCTCACATGTTGTTTCTCTATTTCTCTTCTCTTCTTTGTTTGTTTGTATACGCCATGCTTGTATTCACATCCTCTCTGTTACGCTCTGTCTGTCTCAATCCATCCTACTCAGTGCCGGCAAGCATTTTCCTTTTACTGTGACTCATTTTAAAGGCTTTTTTTTTTATACACTGTTGCACATTGCACTACATAACCTCAGGTGTGTCAACTTTTTACTTCTTGAGAGAAGAGGCTGGAGTTATCAAGGTGTATTAAGTCGGCATTTTAAACCAAAGATGCACCTTTATGACCAGTACTGGCAAAAGCCTGAATGCATAACACAGATTAATGCAAAATAAAAAGGGAAAGCAGGGTCAACCCCATAGACACTGCAACCGACATAAGTCAGCTTATATTGAGCTACTTTTGCTTTAACTGAATCCAATAGTTATTAGGTGAGCCTGTTAAGTGAAAGACTGGTTTTCAATGTTGTCACATGTTTACAAATTGATTTAAACATATTTGTTTCTCTTATGTTTATGCTCTAAGTTTAGAACTATACCAGTATTGTTGGACAGTTGTCCAACTGTTTTTAATGTTCTTTTTTGTTTCTGCATTTTTAATTTAATTTAATTTATTTATCTGTTTTCCTACTTGCTTTTATTCTGTTTTATTTTCCTATATTTTAATCATATAAAGCACTTTGCATTGCCTTTGTACTGAATTGTGCTATACAAATAAATTTGCCTTGCCTTGCCTTACCAGTATAAGTAATAATAGTAACATGTTTACCTTTTTATGTAGCCTATGGATTGTATTATATATGTAGTAATATGTATTGACTTATTAGCTAGATAGGATAACAGATGAGTGACGCCACATACCAATCCAGCCATTTTGTTTTTTTTTATTAATGTCATACTCAGCAATACAGTGACCGGAATATGCAAGACTTTTTAGGCAGCCTCTATATTATATTATTTAAAATATCTGCTTGCAGTGCAAACTTTATGGAAGTGTTCACACTGTATTAGTTAATAAATAATAATTAGTCCATTTATATCTCTAATCATTTGTTACCTTACTTCTAACAATGATTATTTCAAACCTTATGCCTTCACTCATATCTATTCATTCAATAATAGTGTTATTATAGGACAATACACTCAGCCCAAGTATTGGTATTGGACTGGGAAAGAAAAAAATGGATCGATGCATTTCTGATACTAGGAGCTTGTGAGTTCAAGCCCAGCTTCTTTCAATTTAATCCTGCACTTCAAAAAGTAACAAAAAGAAAAAAAAAAGGGACAGAAAAAACTAATTTTAAGGCAAATCTTTAAACATTTTTACGCCTGGATATTAAGAGTCGTCTCTGATGTTTTTTCTTCTAAAACAAGTGGAGAAATCTATTTAAAAGAAGCTGTATATTATACAATATTGAGACAACTTTAGTGTATTCAGGCTGTGAAAGAGGATGAGAGCAAATCTTTAAACAGCTGACAGGGAAAATGTTGAGCTTTTAACCCTTCCCTACAATAAAACATGCTCATTTTCTAAATGCTGACAGAATTTGGGAAATCTTCTTATAATAACAATCTACAGCTCTCGAGTTAAAAATACAAGCTTCCTTTTTTAACAGAGTTACCCACACTAACCCTATTTGCTAATATTGGCTGCTAAAGCCAAAACAAACATATAAACATAACATTATAATCTTGTTTTCGCTGTAAAAAGATATTGGAACACCATTTTACAGAAGCAGCCATGTGCTACATGTGTCTGTCTTATACACTTTATGAAAGGGGGACTAAAAGGATATGATCGCTTATGTTTTTATGTATTTCTATCTCATAGTTCTAAGACAGAAATTAAAATGGGCTTGATTAAATTAGGTAAATGTGCAAAACAATGGAGATATGGAATCGTGTAATACATTTACTCTATCCAGCTCAGGTGGATAGCCTCCCTGTGGAACCATTAAAGATGCTTAAACCCGGAGCATTAGTGAAACTAAAAGCTATGACCCCGGTCCAAACATGCAAGCTTATAATCCTGACAGTTTAATATAAAAAATAAAAAAACCCTGGCAAGAAGCCCAAACATAGCTTAAGTGATTGCTTTGTTTTATATTTTATGTCCGCTGATATGCAATCACAATAATTTCTAGTGGCACATTTTGGTTCTGAATACCTCCCCCAGCAGCAATCAAACCTGCCCCCTCCTCTTCGTACCGTTATGATAAATCCATCTTGCCTTCACCTGTGCTTCTTTGCGCTTCCACGAGTATGATTTATGAGGTAAGCTGAATCCTGAACAAAAGGCCACAAATGCTCCCCAGCAGAAACAAGACACAAAGGAGGAACAAGGAGCAAGCATGATTTGGAACGAGAGAAATTTGGAAGAAAATGCTGATGAGGGAGCCTTTTCTAATGCCATGCAGCAGATATATGTTTTGTAACTTATAATACCAATAAAAACAGATGAATGGCGGGGGCAATTATAGACCACTTGAGGCGCATAGATCACACAAGTTTTCATTGCAGAGAGAAAAGACGGAGGAGTGTAGCTTATAAAGGTTTGCTCTCAAATGAAAACCCAGTTGCTAGATAAGAATCCAAAAGAATTCTGGATTATTGAAAACTAGAAAACAGCATGAATTTGAATTTCTCATGCTTAATTTGAATGTAGATGACTTCTTTTTTTGTCTATCTATAACCATTTCATCAGCAAAGACAGCACAAAATGCAAACCTCTTCATGGATCCAGACTTCTTGTTTAGTTTTATGTTCAGTACATGTAAGACCTAAAGGTATTAAGGTATAAGATTATTTCTGCAAAACATTTTTGATAGAAGAGTCATTTTTACTCAACTAAGACTAAATAAAAAATGTCTCAAACAACCCTGTGAATACAATGAAGCTGAATTAGTTTGGGAGAAAAAATAGAAAGTAGCTGAAGGACAAACAATCATAATAAAAACTTTAGAAAGGACAGACAAAATCAATGTATGATTGTTGTCATTCTGTTGGGATTTTTTTTTTGTTGTTCTTGCTTTTTGAGCATTTGTATTACTTTTATAAAGGACACTGAAAATCTGGATCAAATTGTAGAGCTGTCCAGGGTTAAAACTGCTCCCACATCTGTCCTTTTTATATCTATTTATCATATTTTTTTGATTATATTGCTTTATCACTTTAACCTGTCATCTATTGCAAAGAAAATTCATATTTGTCTTAAGTCATTAATTATTGATTTGTTCATATTTAACTAATCAATACCAAGAGTTAAAAAAAAAAAAAAAAAACTATCTCAGGTTGTGTAAATCAATGGATGGACACTGCATGCTCATCACCCTAACTCCCTTCATGTTAAAAGCGGACGGTGGCAGCATCAGGATGTGGGAAGAAGCATAAAGCTAGAAACAGGGCAATCCTGTCCAGAATAGAAGTTTGAAAATGTAACTTGTTTTTTTCACACAGTTTCTTTTCTCCATACTTCCAACACGCTTATCCCTGCTGAGGTCGCGAGGGGTGCTGGTGCCTATCTCCGACAGGTCGCCAGTCTATTGCAGGGCAACTCAGAGACACATTGGACAAACAACCATTCACGCACTCATTCTGAACTGTGGGAGGAAGCCGGAGTGCCTGGAGAGAACCCCCGCATGCACAGGGAGAACATGCAGAAAGACCCCGGTGCAAGGCAGCAACACTACCCACTGTTCCACTGTGCAGCCCAAAATGTAAACATATTACATGATTTCCTAGACTGTGTAGGATCAGTATACCTAGCTAATAATCCCCATTAACAGGGCTCTTCCTGACTGACTCACCCACGCTGGTGATCCTCTGACTGACCAGGTCCTTCAGCAAGGCGTCCAGCACCAGACTGTGCCTGGGGTAGAGCTCATATCGGTTAATCCCAATGTGGAAACGCAACCAGTTGGGGTAAGACTCTGCTGTCACCTCGGCAGTTGGAGAAAGCTCATCCTCATCCCCCTCCTCATTATGCCTGGGGGACAAATAATAATAATAATAACAAGAGTTGAGGAGAAATACAGTATGGTAAGATTTAACAAGACTTTGTTGTGTTATATGTTAACTGATGTAAGGGAATTTGTGAAGTAAAATCTTAAGACTGTACTGGAACTAATAAAGGTAAAAATAATTAGAAAACATTCTGATGATTTTAAAGTTTTGTGCAGGATTACATAAGATAAATGGATATAAAGATAGATGAACAAATAAAAACCAGTTAACCATCTGTTTCTCAGTGTAAACTTCTTAACATTAGAAGTTTAACAGATTTATATAAAGAAGTGATCATTTTCCCAGTGTTAACCCTAAACTCTAATCAGCTTACCATCCCTGGTTCCCTGTGGCTCTTGGATAAAACCTGATGTCATTGTTGACGTTAAACAAAGTATCATCATCCGTGAGGGGAGGAAGGTCAACCTTGTATAAGGGATGCTCAAACAAAGCCGATAACCGGGAGGCTGCCTGATTTACAGAGGCGGTGCGACCCCCGGTCCCTTCCCTCATCAGAGGCTTGTGCTGCTTCGCTGACGCTCCGCCGGACTCTCCGGCTCTGTCCGCACCGGCTGCGCTCTTCTCCAGCGAGTGGGACGTGAGGTTGGAGCCGGGCTCGCTGCTGAAATCCTGCAAGATCCTCAGCGTGTGCTTGTTAGGCCAACCCGCGTCGGCGGCCGTCCTGGCTCGCTGCTTTCCCCAGCCCTGCGCCTCCCTGCCCGGGTGCTGCGCGCACTGGCAGCCGCCCTCCTCTCCGTGCGCTCCGACAGCTCTCTTCTCCAGCTTTGGCAGCAAGTCTATCATGATGTGCAGAGTGCACGCAACTAAAAACACCATAAGGATCAACACTCTGAATCTACGAAACAATATCATTGTTCTATAGGCTATATACTTGTTTTCTTGAAGGGATATTTTAGGATTTAGTAATTTTCTCTGAGAACGCAGCAATAAAACTATGTTGATCTTCTATTCCAATCCCACTTAAAAATCCCATCATATTTAAGAGTCTCGTTTAATTTATAATGATCCTTCATGTCCTGAGAGGTGAAGTTGAAGTCTAAGAGTCTTCATGCATGAGGATGTAACAAAGGGGGTCCCGTTAAACGCATCGATGCTCTTCCTTTAACCTGCTTCCCAGCGCGGAGTGAGACATCAAAGCAGCATAACTGCTCTCTGATCAAATAGAAAGTCTCAACAGAGGTAGATTTCACACAGTCCGCTGGAATAAAGCTTTCCAATTATATCTAAAATTAATATATAAGATCAAGAATAAAGAAAACAATCCATTAAAGAGCAGGTTATCGGTGAGATGCTCGGATGCTGCCCCACTTCTTTTTTTTTTTTTAACTGCGAGCGTCGCTGAAGTGAGCGTCGCCCTGGCAGGTGTTGCGATCCAGGTCGTGATTTTGTCCTCCCAGCGCCGCCTTTTCTCTCTCCTCCAAGTGTTCATCCAGGGTGGGTCTGTTAAACCTTAGACATCTGAGCCCAGCCTCGCTGGCGTCATAAGGAAGAGATTGGCTGCGTCCCTGCACATTGAAGCGGCGCCTCAGTGATATGAAGGGCGAGCTTCAGGGATGAAACGCTCTGGGGATGCAATTCTCTGCTCTGCAGCTAGAGGGCGGTGGCGCTACCTGAAACTAACTGCTGCGCTCAGTTACATATGTGGTTCTCTAAGGGACATTTCTGGACAATAAGGGATACATTTACATGCAACGAAGATTTTAAAGGTTTATAAAGTTTGATATAAATCAATCTTTTATTATAATTTTAAAATCACAGGAACAATAAGAAAAATCAAACAATAAAATAAAGCTTTTCTAAGCAAAATCTGTTGTCTCCAGTTGCGGTTCTAGACCAAATGTACCAGGGGGCCAGGAGGGGGCCAGTGTTTTTTCATAGGGGCATAGAAAAGCATGAAACAAAAAATCAGGCCAAGGGATTAAAATATATTAAGATATCTGCATGAAGTGAAATCTCTATTCAATTAGGTTTAATAAAATTCTATTTTCTTATTAGGTCAATACAAATTCATAGTTTAGGAATTTTACATATTTTTGACTTCATTTAAGTAAAAAAAAAAAATAATAATAATAAATTACAGTTTTATATGCACTCTGAATTAGAGCATTTTCTTTTATTTGATTTGGAAAAACAAATTTAGCAGATGAAAACTGGGATACTATCTCTATAGCACTGAAGCTATCACCTTATTGTAAATAATTGACAAAAAAAAAGAAAAAAAAGAAATTGATCCAAAGGACCTAACAGTAACCATGTCTGTTCAGCGCATATCATCATTAGAATTTCTTTTAGTAATATGTCTTCAGTACTCCTGTTGGCCCCTGTCTAGAAGCGCCCATGGTTCTCCCCACGTTTTCTTTCAGATTAAGGTTTGGGGAGAGAAAGAGGCATGGAAGAAGCTGAATGTTGTGGCAACTTAAACCATTTCTCTCTTTTTAGTGATATGATTTAACTCTAGCTTAAAGGCCAAAAATCATGACAAGTTTTTAATTTACTTTGGTAGAAACCAGTAGCTGTTAAAAAAAAAAGAAAAAAATTCCTAGTATTTCAAAAAGGTCATGATGCCCTTAAATGTGAACTGATTCCCATGGACCTTCAGAAAAAAATCTGATTGCTTAAAAAAAGTGGCAATGAGGTGCATTTCACCCCTCATCTTTATGATGGTAAATGAGAAAATCTTTGGCATCTCTCCCAATCAACCTGATGGCATGTCAATGGCGCCAGTGGCAGATCTGCCAAATCTGGAATAGTTCAGAACAGTTGTACAGTCCCGTACATTTCACAAAATGTTACTCTCACCAATCATTAACAGCAAATTAAAGTCAGGTTCAAAAGCAAGATAGGAGGGTGTACTTGTATCAAAGTACTACTACAACTGCTGTGCCCAAACTACTGCTGAGTAGTTTGGGCACAGGGTGGACCAGGAAACTGAAATTAGTGAAAACACCTGACTTTTGACCAAAAAGTTTGTAACCCACATTAAACATTACCAGTCCTTTAGCCAAGATCTGAATCTACTGTCTGTTTTTCTCTGCTGGAGAAATTTAAGGAAGTGAATCCCATTTGTAGGGCAATTGAAAACTTTGCATTTTGCATATCCACTTGAAACCTTATTAGACATGGTAGTAAAACTAAAAGAGATAGGGGAAAATAATCAATGATTCTTTTTATTATTTTTAATCTTTCTCTTAATCATCTTATATTTATAAAAAGAACAGTAGTGGAATTGATATAAACATACAGTTCAGAGAGTTGTGCGAAGAATTCCAGTTTTTGAAATAAAAGAAAAAAATATGATTGATTATTAATTATTTTTTTCATACAAATTATACTGAGGATACAGTTAATAAATATAACATGTAATTGTTTTTTTTGGTTTCACATGTTTAAGGAGGATGATAATTGTAGTACAAGAGATAACAAGAGGAGGGCAAGAAGGTGCCTGAATTAAGCTCTTTTTTGAAATATTTCGAAAAACCTTGAGTTAGCAGCCTTTCCCCTCAGGAAGTGTGTAACAGTAAAGGTGATACAGATGGATCACAAGCTCGCTGGATAACAACAGACAGTGTTGTTGTTTGTTTTCCAGACCAAATGAGACAAGTCTCTTTGTAAGATAAATGGAGGTCTGAAAGAATGTAAAACTCTGGAGGTTCATTATAAAAGAAATACGCAAAAGGCAGAAACAAGCTTTAGTTATGCATCTTGGTAGTGGGCCTTCCAGGAGAGATTTTCTGGGTTGTTTTTTAGTATCATGTCCATCAGTGTATTGGCGTAAAGCTTGTTTGATGCAATTATTTTCTTGCTTTTCTTTAATATGAGAGGTTTTGAATCTGCATTTCCATCTTTCTTATCATGTTTGGTGGAAGGATATCTGTGGGACCTTCCTCAACCTACTGGCCAGCGGTAAAAAGAAGTTGCCATCTGTGTTATACCATATTTATACACATGAAATGTACAGATTATTAGCTAACTGAATACTTACTCATATGATGAAAATAGTACCCCCCCAAAAAACAAAAAAACAACAAAATATTTGTAACCTTTTTTTATGGGAGAGCTAAGGGTTGGGTTTCTAGCATAGCTCTTAAAGTTTTACGTTTTTACAAAGCTTTAGGAAAAGGTTATGCTTCCTCCACTAAAGAGTTTATTTAACATCTTTAACAGAACATAAAAGCATCATTCCATGACTAAAAAAAGTATTATGACTACAGATATGTGTTTCCTATTGAAGCGTTTGTCTTTACATCCATTCTTTAACTCCTACATCAATGGAAGGATGAAACGTTTGCATCTGATCTTCTATCATGTAGCTTCTAACTGCCTATAAAAACAAACATCTTTAGCAACAGTGGAAGTAAAAACTACTGAGCAGTTTTACAAAATGCTAGAAAATATGTCAATTTAAATAAGTGGGAGTTTTAAGCTACCACTTTTCTAGCTTCTTATAGCTGCTTCCTGTGGTGAAGTGCAAACAGTACTGTAGCTTTTAGTGTAATAAGTGAAGATTCAGGGGTATGTTATGCTTTTATGTCTTTATTTTCCATAAAAACGGAAAAATAAGACACAGAAACATAAATCTGTGGGGTAAATGATTCCCCTGACAGGGTGGGGGTCCATTTTTTTTTATTTGATTGTTTTTTTGTTTTTTTCTGCACAAAAACACAACCCAGTACTTAGCAGCCTTTTTGCTTAAAGAAATATGCGCTTTGTTGCTGCTTTAACTCCTGAGTTTTTCTTAATCAAAGCTGGTTGTGTGCAAGGCAGACATTAGAAGCAAGAACTTTTAGATCTTTTGCACGAGAATAATTCTATTTGTTCTGAACTTTGATTTTATAACACCTATTAAAAGTAAATATATTTTTAGAATAAAGAAAAAATACTCCCACCAAAGGTCTAAATGTTTTTAGCTTACACCATGCCATGTATTTCAACTTTATCAAACAGAAAGCTCTGTCAGACAATAATATAATTAATGTAATTTTAATCAAAGGTTTTCTAATCAGTTAATTACATTCCTCACATATTATTCCAGACATGTTGCGGTTGAAATACACCTAGCTGCTGCTGTTGCAGAGGTTATTTTGTCTGTTTCCTGATAAAGTGAAAACTGCTTTAATGTGACCTGTGGGAAAATAACAGGTTCAAAGCAATTTCTGCACTTGGCATTTGTGCCTGGGCTGGGCCAGATCTCTGTCTAACTTGGACTAAACGACCAGCACTTTAAAAGCTTGAAGTTCGAGTTTGCCAAATGCAGACTTTTGCCTGCCAGAGACAAACAGCATAGGTCTATTTAACCGCTTTGTCTTTTCGCTCAGTCGAATCAAACAAAGTGCAGAAATCTGAGCAAACTATGCATATTTCTTTGGCTTGTTTGTGCTTGCTTCACACGACTCACACTGTCGGCCAAATTGGAAGAGTTTCTTTTGGCCTCTGCCTCTCCTCCCAAAGGTGTTACGCCTGAGTGTGTAGCCATGGCTTGATTTGTTCTTCCAAATAAAGCAGGATCTGAAAGTTAACAAGCCATTAAAAATCTCAACCTTATCAGTGAATTTTGTCATTTTCAATCGCACAAGGGAGAAATATGATGATAAAAACATATGAGGTTTGGTTTAATAATTATTTAAAGGTACAAGTAGAAACCAGTTGCTTCAGCACACAATGTCAGTATGTGTTGCTAAGAAGAGAACAAATACATTTCATTTCCACTTCTCTGTTGTATTTTAGGAGGGCAGGTTCATACAAAACCTCTTATCTCAAGACAGAAAATACAAATTTTCTCTGGAAAGACTGTTTAAGATACATGTTTGCTCATGCTGTTTGTGTTCCAATCTACTGGGCAAAATAACCTGTTGGACTTTGACACACATTAGAAGGAAACCAAAAGATTTGTTATGCAGACTGGCTTGATTATTGTTCTGATCAAGTGGTACTTGTGTGAAGTTGGTGATTTTACTAGATATTTCCTGGGGCAAGGAGGCTGAAGAAAACTTCAAAGGCATTTCTCCCACTGCTGATGTAGAAACATGGCTTGAATTTCAAAATGAAACTGTAGATATATTTTCCCGGCTACTGTAGTATGGATCTGTGCTCCTGTGTTCTGTCAACGATGACAAGGCATACCAATCAGGGAAACAGATTAAAGACACACCGTTACAGATTTCTATATTGTTTATCACCACATTCATAGTTTCTCTGTGATAAATAATATCCTTACATAATGAAAACCCAGAATTCATGTCTGAGAGAATTTGAATATTATACTAGATCAATAAATGGCTAGGGGGAGTGGCAGCCTAGTGATTAGGGCATAGAGTTGGAATCCTGAGGTTCTGAGGGTCGAGCCCCACTACCACAGACTGCAACTCTGGCTCTCTGAGCAAGACACTTATCCCCGATTGCTCCTTGGGCGGCGATCCACGATTGCAGCCCTACTCCTACCCAAGGGGATGGGTTAAATGCAGAGGTAAATTTCTCCAATGAAAGATCAGTAAAGTTCTATTATAAAGAACAACATTTTTTAAATA